CTTTCATAATTCAACTGTCTCTATGTCGCTCCCATAACTTTTTCACTTGCAGCACTTCACAAGCCTCGGCCAGACCGAGCACTTCTTCAGCCCCGGCTCGGCCAGACCAAGCACTTCAACGCCTCGGCCAGACCGAGCGCTTCAAAGCCTCGGGCAGACCGAGCACTTCAAAGCCTCGGCCAGACCGAACACTTCAAAAGCCTCAGCCAGACTGAGCACTTCAAAAGCCTCGGCCAGACCGAGCACTTCAAAGCCTCGGCCAGACCGAGCACTTCAAAGCCTTGCCAGACCGAGCACTTCAAAAGCCTCAGCCAGACTGAGCACTTCAAAAGCCTCGGCCAGACCGAGCACTTCAACAGCCTCAGCCTGACTGAGCACTTCAACGCCAAGCAGAACCACATTTTCAACACTTAGTCACATTCTGAAGTTTCTTCACAGTTCCAGGACCACGTCTTTACCTAGCTAAATTCTCCACATACTCTCACGTATTTCATTTACTGATCAAATTATTTGCCAACTATTTAGTTACAATTTACAACCTGCCTCTTACTCTAATTTTTCCATTATCCTTTCAATTTTCATACAACTCCAATCACACTCCGCAGGGAGGAACTTTTAACTTTCACGTTGCACGATATTTTTATTGACCCAATCTTTATGACCAGTTTTAATCACAACATTTCATTCATGCTGGCAACATAAGCAAAATAAACAAAATTCAACTGGCTATACATTCATCCATTACAATTAAATAATCTTTGTACACAACTTCATTACAATTAAATTCTTCATACCTTCATTCATTCACTCATTCCTTTACACTGTGTTCACAAGTTCAAAAAAAAAAAAAAAAAACACAGAGCACGCCCAGTTTTTCTTTTCCTTGGCTACTCCTCCTCGCTAGATGCTAGATCCTCTTCTTCAACGCCTTCGTCCAGGGGGGTCTGGGCCACATCATCTTCGCCTATTGTCACACTACTAAGGTCCAAGTGTGGGAACAGCTCTTCAGCTCTGCGCTTGAACATTTTTCAACCGCTGTCCCAGAACTCGGCCATTTCGTGCTTATAGAAGTCTGACTGCTGGAACCTTTCAATCACCTCTGCCTCTGTCCTACCTCCAGCAGTCTTCCTTGATGGGCCCACCCCCCACTTGCTTGTCTAGCTCCTTTTTGTTGTCCTTTGCGCTGAGGCTTGTATCCCTTGTGCTTTCCAACTTTAGCGACAAGTGTAGCAGTGCGGTTCGCATCTTTGCGCTTTGCCTCGAGCTCAAGGTATCGAGAAATGTCATCAAAATTTTTGATTCTCTTATTGTGCGTGAGCACCAATTTCACATGTCCGCATGAAGGGTCAAGTAAGGATTTGATGACCGACAGAATCTGTTACTCATCAGTGAGATCATTGCCAGCTACCTTCATCTCTCTAATCATGGCAGATATCACCCTAAGGTGCTTAGCCATAGTATGTTATGGATCCATCATAGATTGATTGAACTTCAATGTAAGGGCACACAACCTAGTTGCTATCGTGCCTCCATACTTCAGGCGTAATTGACCCCACATTTCTTGGTAGTTGGGAATTTCTCAAATTCCCCAATGAGGTCATCATGCATGAAGCTCAACAAGGTAAAGGGCACACTCTTATCCCTCTTAAACCAGTTGGCATAGGCATCTTGGTAACAATGATACTGTGCCATGTTCCTTGCCTCAGGTGTGGCCATGATGTTGGTCAAATGGTCGAGCAACTCTTGCTCATTGAGAAGGTACTGAACCTTCCTGTGCCATATTTCATAGTTATTTCCGTTCAATTTATCTCCCTTATAAAGTTCAGCAATAATATTCTTTGAGGCCGTTTCACTAATTCATTGCGTAAAGATTTAATTAGACACATATCTCAATATTTTATTCTAAATATTATTAGACCATAAAATTATTTTTCACATTATAAGATTGAAAATTTCGCATTTTTAGGTGCTAGTAATCATCTCCCACAATGTAAGTAACAATAAAATGTCTATTTAATTTAAAATAAAATATAGGGAACAATTCTCACTATCCACAATTTAAAATTATACATGATATAAATGAGTCTATAAATTGTGCCATACAATTTGCACGTGGGCTCCACTTGAAGCTCTATTGGTATTTTAGTGCAACATGTTAAGGCAACCTTGAAATATATTGGTGATAATGAAACACATCCCCTTACATGGCTATGGAAAAATACATCAAAATAATAATAATAATAATAATAATAATAATAATAATAATAATAATTTACAACCCAAAAGAATCCTACTACATTGATTCTAAATGCAAAAGGAAAAAACATGGGATGTCACTTCACCAATACATTTATGGGATATACATTCAACCATACACGATAAAATAAAAACATGTGTACCAATGAATACCAATGTCACCTCCATTCAAAAAACAAAGACAAAAAAAAAAACAAAAAACAAAAAACAAAAACAAAAACAAAAAAACAAACAAACAAAATTAAATTAAAATGAACAATTAAAAAATAAAAGCAATTTAAATGGGTCACATGATGGAGTTCAACTACAATTCTATTTAAGGAATAGAGTGTTGGACAATAAAACCTAGGACTCATATTTAATATGTTGATACATAACCAACATATTAATTAATCACAGAATAAATTAACACAACAACAAATATAAAGCGTAACAAAATGCTAAAAAAAAGTTAATTGATTTTTTTAATTAATCATGAAAGTAATATAATAAATCAGAAAATTAATTTTGCTAAATATTTCAAAAAAAAAAACTTAATTTAAATTTTTTGTTAATTTTTTTCAAATTATGAAATAAAACAAAAGCCCTGACATTTGCATGGGCCATGACTCCCAACTCACTGCTTGGACAGATCAGAAATTAGCAACAACATGCCCAAAGTTTTTGGGCTGGACCAATGATCCATCTACCTAGCTTATGATACTAAGTCTGGCCCAACATAGCAAATATATTCATATAACAAGCCCACTTAGCAATTAGTAAACACTTTTGCCCTACTGCTTTGCCGTATTGGGAGCAGAACGCGCGTCTGAACCGCGAGCCCGGTAGAGCTGTAATAGCAATATTCAAAAAATTATTTTCTGCTCAAACTGTTCAGAAAATACAAATTTAACTCAAAAAAGTTTGAAAAATCATATATTTTTTAATTTAACTCCGATTCAATTCTATTTTATAACAATAAAAAGCTTATGCAGAGTATAATCTAAATATATAAATTTCATTTACAAAGAAAAAAAAAATTGAATCTTATTTACTATTTTTGAGTACAAAAATCTGTTGTAATGGATAACCCCAAAAATCTCTTTAAATGCGTCATAATATAAAACATTATTAATGATGCATCAATCTAATAATATAAGCAATAAATATATCAATGCCATACTAATCAAGAGGCAAAAAAAAAAGCAAGAGGTTCTGATGCCACTAATAGAAATAATGGGTTACTTTAGGTAGAAAAAACACCCACGTGATAAGATCCGAACACTTGAATTACGAACCCTTCTTCTTGCAAATTACATGTCAATAGAGAAGCTATTAGAGTCTCCCCTATAAAACACAAACTCCAAATTGTAAGGTATAAAAATGGTGACCTTGGAAAGATGAACACAGAGAGAAGCAATTTTTTAGAGATCTCTTATGGGTAAAATTCCGGACAACACATGTATATTTATTTTCTCCATATATGATATATAATGATGTGTAGATAGATATCTACTATCATTCAAGCTCTCTTATAAATAATTAAATAATTACCTTATCAAAAAAATTTAAATAATTAAAGATAATACAATAATTATCTTCTTATGGGTTATGGATCTGGTCCGATCCAGTTTCCAACAGATGCTATTATTGTAATAAAAAAATGATAGAAATAGACAGTCTAAAATATTAATTTGAGTGCTAATAGTAGCAAACATTCTTTAATGCACCTCAAACACGCTGACTTTTTGAAATGTTAATTTTCTTTTTTTTTTGGAATTATTTTAGTCAAAAACTTACCACCCAAAGGAGGCTTGAGTGTATTTAATAGTTACTCTATTCTTGTAGTTTTATCATTTAGGTAAATTCCAGTGACTTTCTTTAGGTTTCTCCATAAATTTGGTATACTTATTTGTTTGGGAAGAGGATTTGGCTAAAATAATTCATTAAAATATAAAATATGTTAAAATTGTCTATAAAATAAAATGTTACATTCAAGTTATAATCATTTTACTTTCCTTTTCACAATTATTAAATTAATTATAAAAAAAATCAATTGTCTTTTTAAACACAACTATTTTAATCAAACTAAATAATTTAAAAAATCAATTAAAATGATCAAGTTTCCAAACAAAACTTAGATTAAACTCTCATAAAATTTAATTTATACAATATTTAATCTCATTTTTATTAAAAATTTCTTAATTATTTTAGAGATAATACACAAACTTCTAGATTCGTCTTAAAAAATTGGATCAGATTGAAAAATAAAAACATTAAAAAACCGATGTTGTTGACTAAAAAAATGTCCGAGCTCGAGAAGCAACGTAATTTACTTCTGGAAATTACACGTGGAGAGGGGTCACTTCAAAACGATGTCTCCCGCCAAACAAAATCACGTAATTTACAATCCGAACGCCACGTGTTTAGTTAGTTCAATCTCAGCCCCACACGTACTCCGGTGCGAAATCCAAGTCGCGGTTCCATTTCCCGTACTAGAACGCCGCATTTAGTCCAGGTGGCGCTAATCCAGCGGATTATAATATTTGTTTCCGCATTTCTTCAGATTTTAAAATTTCAAAAAAAAAAACTTCCCCATCTCATCCAGCATTTTAAATCATGAACGGCCCGCGACTCACGTCACCGTCTTTGAACTGAGCCCCACACGTACTCCGGTGCGAAATCCAAGTCGCGGTTCCATTTCCCGACTAGAACGCCGCATTTAGTCCAGGTGGCGCTAATCCAGCGGATTATAATATTTGTTTCCGCATTTCTTCAGATTTTAAAATTTCAAAAAAAAAAACTTCCCCATCTCATCCAGCATTTTAAATCATGAACGGCCCGCGACTCACGTCACCGTCTTTGAACTGTCGCCGGAAAATGACGTTAGCATGTTCCGGAGATGATCAGTGTTCAAAGAAGAACCGAGACCTTTCACAAACCGAAGATTGTTGTGAGCTTTTGTCGAGAAAGAAGTCGCGGAGTGTCACGTGCACGCCACATGGATCGACATCAGTGATCGGCAGAAGAAGAGAAATGGAGGACGCAGTGACAGTGGAGCTAGGGTTTCTGAGCAGAGATTCGAGAGAGTATGACTTCTTTGGCGTATACGATGGGCACGGAGGGTCAAGAGTTGCGTATTCTTGCCGTGATCGATTACACTGCTTGCTGGTGAAAGAGATCGAAGACGAGATTGATGTGGAAACGAGGTCGGAGGAGGATTGGGAGAAGGTGATGGTGGCGTGTTTTGGGAAGATGGATGAGGAAGTGAATGATATAACGGCAAATATAGGTTCGACGGCGGTGGTGGCGGTGGTGGGGGAGGAGGAGGTGGTGGTTGCCAATTGCGGCGACTCAAGAGCTGTGCTGTCAAGACGAGGTGTCGCTGTATCTATGTCTAATGATCATAAGGTAATTTTGGATCTTTTGGATATTATGTTTCTATAAATTTTTAACTTTTCCTCATTTTGTGCTTTAAAAAATCTCTGGATATAATCATTGAGGATTTACATGATAGTAATCTTTTATGGCTTTGATTTTGTTCCTTTTTGTATAAGTTTTTTTTTATAAAGAGTACAAATTGAGGAGCAAGACCCTAAAGTTTGTTAGAGTCCTACATTGTGTGGTTGGGATTTATTAGCCAGTCACATCAATTTTTCTGATGTGACTCGTCAGTAAATCTCAACCACACAATGTAGTACTCTAGGAAAATTTAGGAAAATTTCACTTTAGAGATCCTTGGTGCAAATTGAGGTGAACTATCTCACAGTAATGCTATGTTTGGTTGATAGAAATTGCAGATCATGAATTGATAGTTTATTTTTAGGAATTTCTTCCCAAAAGCATGACATCTGGATAATCTCATTCAAGTGCTTGGATAATTTAGAGTCTTCTCCAGGGAAACAATGTAAAAATTATTGGAGTGTATTAAGAAATGAATCAACCTCACTCTCTCTCTGTTTTTTTTTAAAGAAGGATTCCAAGATTACTTTGGGGAGTAGGGAATCAGATTCCTCGGTCTAGGAAATTGATTAAGGTCAGATTAGAGATCAAAAATCACATTCCCATTCCGATTTTATCCAAATGGTAGAATCATGGTGATCCAAAATTACATTTTCATTCTCTCAGGGTTCCTATAAGCTAAAGTTTGCCTAACATTTCAAAACACAGAATGACGGATGAGTGAGATTTCACATACAAAAGATATTTTGAAATCGAATGGCATCAGGCAAACACAAATATGAGAAAAAAGTTAAAACAGAACAAAATATATGTGGTTTGACTTGAAGTCAATGTTCATGGGCAACAAATGAGTTTCACTATTAATTTAGAGATTACAATAAGTCAGCTCTGTCTCTCAACAATCTTTTCACTGAAGCTTACAAGATAATCATAACCCTAGAAGCTGGAAATAACCCAATATATACAAGAATTCGAAAATAGAAAATCAGATCAAAATAGACCCCAAATACAAATACCAGGTCGGAAATTAGGTCATGTATGTCGCCAACGAGTAACAATAAGTATCATCTGGGTTAAATGCGAGACGCACCCACAACATTTGAAACTCAGTTCTCATTCTTTACTCAAGTGTAACAAATTTGGAAACAGGGGCAAGGGAAACTATAACACAGTTATTTGTGGCATGTGTTATTCTTGAAAGGGTTATACTAACCACTGACCAATAAACATTAGTTAAGATTTAAATTATGTCAAAAGAGTTAAAACTTCAATACACTTTTTATATATTTTTAGACACTTTTCACATATTTTAATATATTTTTTACATATATACTAGTCTTAAACAACACCTATTGGCTGGGCACTGGTTAGTATTTTTGAAGAATTGTAGGAAACAGGATTGATTATCCCTGTTTTTGAAAAGTATAACTTATCCGGTTAGCCATACTTTTTTCATATTAATACTTATACCAAATTCTGTTCTTGCTATCTGCCTAACCAAAATAGCAGTATTAGAACTACATTACTCCTTTGGCTTGGCTTCCTCGCAAGACCTATGCCATTTGGGGACCCATAGATGTCTATTGAATTTCTTAAATTAGTACAGAAATTTGTAGAATTAATATGTTTTCTCACACTATTGACCATGAGATTATTAGCCTGGTTTGGCATGCGTAAAAAAAGTTAAAAAGTTAAAGAGTTATCACTATTCACAAAAAAAAAATTATTAAAAAATTAATTTTATACACAAAATTACAAGTCAATCTTTTCAAAATTAGATTTGTGGCTGCGTTTTTTAAGAAAAATTGCACAGTTGGGTGCAATTTTAACACACTGTTGTTCGGCCTGTGGGGGTCCATCACGGGTCCCGTTTTGATAATTTGAACCGTTTAATGTGTAGAACTCGTCGAGTACTATACTGTAAAAAATCACATTGATCGGATGTCACTAACTATATGATCAAATCAGTTTTGTATAAAAAAATGGATGGTGTTATAGTTAACGGTTGAAAAAAAAACTAATCTGATCAGATAGCTATTGATATCCGATCAACGTAATTTTTTACAGGCATATAGTACTAAACGAGTTCTACACATTGAACGGTTCAGATTATCAAAATGGGACCCGTGATGGCCCACACGGGCCGAACAGCACTCTCCAGTGCAATGCCCGAAAAATAGCCAATCAATTCTTAGCATTAATTCAACTGCACAGATAGTACGGCCGTACAACTCACACTCCTAATCTTCTCCTATACACTAATTTATATAATTTTTTAATACACATTTTTTCATAAAAAGTCAAAAAGTTAACCCAAACAACCATCTTTTTTTTTCTCAACTTTTTAGTTTAAAAAGTTCAAAAATGCACTTATTTAAGACACCCCAAACAACATGCAAACTTTTGAAGGGTTAATTATGGTCAGGACTTCTACTTCCCTATGGTATTGTATGAACTGTGAAGGCGTCTAGTTAGAGGACTTTAGTGACAAAACGCTGATGGGCAGTAAAATAAAACAAAAGTTTGGAGCTTTAGTAGGAGGCAAGGTTCTAAAAAGCAGTTACAGTCGCCGTAACGGTGGCGGTGGTGGTGGCGGTGGCACGTTTGCGGTTGCGGGGTGGAAAGATCATAGTGTAACGGTTGCGGTAACCAAAACCGCAAATTTTTTTATTTTTCGCACAATTTGATAAAAACTTACTGATACGCATATTTTTTTCCATAATCATATTTATTGGGTTTTAAAATAAATATTGATTAATTTTTTGTAAATTTTTAAGGATGATCCAATATATTTTATATTTTTAAATCACTATAAATTGAGTTTTTTACATTTTATTTTAGTAATTAATGACTTTATATGTCATAAATCCATACTACACTTGTGGCAAAAAAAAAAAAAAATTATTGGACTTAGATGTATAAAATTATTTTTTTAATTATTATACTTGTGGAAGCATATGCAAATTTTAACTTGAATAGTTTTAAACAATAAATTATACATGTTAATGTAATCATATAAAAATTAAAAAATAAATTACAAAGATTTTTTTTTTTTTTTTTTGTTTGGATCACTTGAATATTCATTCTCTTTTTGGATAACCTGTAAATAAAAATAAAATAAACTAATTAAAAAAATTGACATGTATAAAATATGTATTAATATATAATTATAAGTGTTATGTTTTCTAAAAAAATCAATCATTAACTATTATATATAAGATAAATAATGACAAACGTAAAAGAATAAATAAGAGCCCAAATATATATATATATATATTTTAATCAAGACAAATAGATAATGACCATTATTATTATTATTATTATTATTATTATTATTATTATTATTATTATTAAACAATATATAGATAGACACACTCAAACAAAATGGTTGAGTGATAGCAGTTGAATAGAATAGTATAGGTCTTACAGTTTTAACAAATCAATAACATGTCCATCTTCCCTCTTCTCTCTCTATCTCGTACTCCTCCATCTTCCCTCTTCATCTTCAAACAATATATAGATATACACACTTAAACAAAATGGGTGAGTGATAGCAGCTGAATAGAATAGCATAGGTCTTACAGTTTTAACAAATCAATAACATGTCCATCTTCCTTCTTCTCTCTCTATCTCTTACTCCTTCATCTTCCCTCTTCACCTTCCCTTTTCTCTCTCTATCCCTCTTCCCCCATTTTCTACTTTTTTTTTTAATTTTTTTTTTAAAGAAGCAGTTCGAAACCGTCATGTAACGGTACGTAACAGGCCATTACGGCACCGTTAAGACCACTACGGCCGACACACCTGTGAGTTTCAATCATACCGCAAAAGCGGCCGTGACCACCACAACCATTATGTAACAGCGTTGCGTAACGGTTGCGGCCGCTTTTTAAAACTTTAGTAAGAGATTTACCAAGTATTATGCATCAAAATGCATTTTAGGAAGTTCTATTATTGTATAAGAATCTCATAAACCTGCACAAAGTCCTCAGTTATGAAAGTGAAGTCCTCCGAATTTGTATGACATTTGGCATGAATTCAAATAAAGGCCTTTTTGCAAAACTAATTTAAGGATATAAATTTGAATTCTAAGGCTTTTCAGCTTGAGCATATTGGACTGTTGATTTCTCTCCTGGTTTCATTTTTGCACATTGCTTCAAATTTTTACTTCAAGTTTAATTCTTTGAGGAACCAAGTTCATGCATGCTTGGATTGTATTTGTGAATCAATACCTCAATTCAAGCATACCATTTAAACAAATTCTGATGATCAATCTGGGTTTGGAGATAATTAGGTTGCACCTGCCATTTTTTATTTTGCTAAGGATGATCACTTTTAATGAATGTAGTCATCTTTTAATCTTGGTTAGTATGAGGTCAAAGTGTCCTAGTTAAATCTATGTATCCAAAATTTGCTAATGTTCGTAGAATATTAGGCTCAATTCGTGCTGATGATGACAACATGGTTGTGGTGCTGCAACGTGCAATTTAGTGGATTCATCATTGGGCATGGCTGGAATGTGGAATGTGGCCATTGGTCAGATCGTGTTCTTGCCTTGTCAGAAGGAGTTTATATAGTTTAAAGAGATGCTAGACATATTTTTAGCTCCAGCTTTTGGGAATGTCATGAATGATTCTGTATATAGTTTTTGATTAGTGAGTTCAACCCTTGTGCATATACTGTAGGTCCAAAGTATTCTGATTCCAATATGACTTCTATGGGCACTTAGTATCACATCTCATCCCACATTGGCTAGGTAAGCTAAGTTCATGGCTTGGGCCTAGCCCAAAGTGGAGAATACCATTACGGCTTGGATGGGGACCCTACATATAGAGTGAAGAATCTAATTAGTTTGAGGTGGTAAATCTCGATTAATTTATTTGTGGTCCCTCCACTTTTTCATACACGATAAATTTTCTTGATATTCTACAAAATTATCAGCATAATAGATTTTTAACTGGAAAGCAGTTTAAGATATGCTTGAATTATTCAGCATTATGGAGTTCTACATAACACGCCATCTTTACAAAATTAAAGCATCTATTAATATATTTTTCCAGTAGAGAGAAATTATCAGGAGGTTTCCATGTTTTTGAGAAAGAAAAAGGGGACTCCAAATCTTCGAGATTAGTAAACCCACCATGCTTAGCTTGAAGTTGTATTGACCTGTTTGTTTGGCAGTAATGATCTAAGTGGCACAAACTGGGCCATGGGACATAAGCATAACACAAGATGGCAAATCCTAAAAATTTAGGACACTGAAACAAATAGGGTATATGATGCTCATATATACGTCAAATGCACAACTTTTGTTAACATTTTAAATATCTATTTAGGAATTCCATAATGTGAAGATGAAGCTTGAAAAGTTCATTTTGATAGTTATGCTTTGTATATTTCTACATTGTGTTTCTGTCAATATAGAAAAGTGTATTCTCGACTTGTGATTGGTGTGCATGACTGCAGTGTCAAATTCTATTAAAAATAATAAAATGTCGAGCAGTTTGGGCTGTGTTGTAGAGTGTTATGTGTCAGCAAATTTTCCAGAATAATGAAATCTAATTTTGAACACATCCACAAGGTATGAGACACATGCTTGGACTGTCATGAGGAGTTGGTGTCCCCACGGAAATGGCAGCATTGTAGTAAATGTTCATGCTTGTTGCCTATTATTCTGGTTGAACTGGAAAATTCAAGTTGAATTACATGTTGGTTCTTTACTGCCCTGGTTGCTAACCTCTTGTTTGCACAATAATGCCACATGAGTCATGAACTTGATTACAAAAAAATTAAAAAATAAATTCACTCTACATCCATCATATTTATCAATTTATCAATATATTGTAATTGATGGATCCAATTTCTATTAAAAATATATATATCTCGTTTGATCTTGCATATACAGTTCCAGATTATTTTGTTGATATCATTTCTATGCACAGCCTGACAGACCTGATGAGTTGGAGAGAATTGAAGGTGCTGGTGGAAGGGTTATAGACTGGAATGGGCCTCGAGTCTTAGGAGTTCTTTCTACTTCAAGATCCATAGGTATGTAAAAATTTATTATGCGATTATACTTGATTCCATAGATGAATCTGGTTTTCTGAGAAAATTATCAAATCTTGGATTGATACTTTGGTAATTAATTAGCTGAGTGTAGCAAGGAGTTGGTTGTTTTGGAGTAGATTCTGGTGGTGCAATGTCTTTTCTTGGTGTCCATTGAACATTTGGGTTCAGCATGTAATTGTTTTGTGTTTGAACTGCTTATTTGCACAATCTGACTGGAAATAACTTTAGAGCTGATTCTTGGTAAAGCATATATCATGTGTTTCTAGGAGCATGAGTGAATCTTTCCTAAACATTACATTCCTAAGCTGGATTTTCATAACCACCTTAGAATAGGTTTCTTCGGTTAGGCTCCTTTTAATTATTGGTTAGACAGAGAAGAAGAAAATGAAAATCTAGCCAAGCAAAAATAAAGGATTGTGTTGGTTTTGTGCTTCATCTTGACCATTTGTGTGGTGGTCAGAGTTGTTAGACAGGGATAATAACTGTATTATTTGCTGTTAGTGTAAGAGTTGATATACTATATTGTCTTTCTTCTTGTGCTAGACACCAACGTCCGCATCTCTATTTGTAGTATAAATGGACACGTTAAACATTTTAAGTTGATGTTGGGCATGGCCATGTGTCCTTTTTACAAATTTATAAGGGTGCACATTGTTTCTAAAGACCATAGAAAATCATTAATCCATTTCACCTATTAGTTGATATATCAGTTTCTAAGGAGCATTTGGCAGATCCTAAACTCTAACCTGATGCCTTGGGTCAAGTTGGGGGAAGGATTTGGGCTCGTAATTGATGAGCAAACTCTTGACCCATACAACAATTAACTTTGAGGACAACCAGGAGGCCCACAACAATCATGTTAAACTCAGTGGCTCAAGTGCTCTTTAGATACTGGCGGCTGTAATTTTGTTTCCTCATGAGGTTTTGAAATTTGAATGCAGGGGATCACTACCTCAAACCATTTGTAATACCGAAACCAGAAATCATAGTGAGCAAAAGAACTAGTGCAGATGAATTTCTGATTCTAGCTACTGATGGCTTATGGGATGTTGTTTCAAATGAGGTTGCATGCCAGGTCGTGAGGAGATGTCTGGATGGCAGAATTAAGAGGAGACTTCAAGCGACTCTAAATGAAAGCAAATTCAGTGAGGCTGTAAATCAAAGCCGTGCTGCGGAGGCAGCAGCAGCATTAATTGAGCTGGCAATGGCTCGGGGTAGCAAAGATAACATCAGTGTGGTAGTAGTGGACTTGAATAAAACAAGAAAATGTACAGTGCAATAGAGTACATAAGTAATATCTCCCCTCTTTACTCACCGTTTAATTGCGTGTTTTGCTTTTTTTTATCTAATTTTGAGATTGGCCTTGTGAATTTCCAATTTCTCAGTTTTGAGCCGTAATGATTACTTTGATTGCGACAATCCAATGATTCAGATAGTAACAGGTGCTCTATATTGATGGGTAACCACAACTTTTTCTAAAAGCACTTTGTTCCCGGGTCCAAAGAATAGGGAATGATGGTGTACGTACTTGTAAAGTAGAGTAAATTTAAGCCTGAGGAAGTGCGATGTGAGAAATATTAGTGTCGTTTCCACAATAAGCCATGTGTTGTCAACTGCAATTGCTTCAATAAAGCGTGTTTCACATGAAAGTAGTGTGGGGTAAGTATTTCTTCGTCTTTTTACTGGAACGGTCCACCCACAACCATCTGTCGTCGTCTGCTTTTGAATGCATAATCTCAGAATAATGATTCCCACGAACTACCTCCCTTTTTTGTTAAATGCTCTATTGATTGCAAGGAAACTTTTATGTGTGCTTGTTTGGAGGATTTAGAGAGAGATTTGGAAAGTGAAAGGGAAAAATTATGTAAAATTAAGTGAAATATAAGTATGTTTTGTTCACATTTCACTTACATTTTCTATTTCTCTTTCTAAATCTTTTCTCAAATCCACCAATTAAACACAGCATTAAAAAACTAAAATATTCGTGAGAAAGCCAATCTACCACTGCAACAGTCCAAACACATCTAAAAACGTTTTTGGGAATTCAATTACTGTTTTCCCTTCAACTGCAATTTTCTCGGCTGTCAAACAGAGCTTGTTTACATCTTCCTTCTGCAATTTTGGATGAGAAACAAAGAAAGCCACAGTAGTGTGGTGTCATGTTGCTAATGACCTTGTAGTTTGGACAGTCTTTTAATAGATTGATTTTCTTCTTGTTTGGAATCCAATTTCCTAAACTGCATATTTGGAAGTGTTCCCTTTATTGTTCAAATTAGTGTTTTGGGTTAGTCACTTGATGCATACTACTAACCTAAGAAGCATGGACACGGACACGTGACACGACACGAGTACGACACGGACACGCCGACACGTTAATTTTCAAAAAATGCAGGACACGACACGATGAGGACACGCATGAAATATATAATTTTATATATTTATTATATGTTATATATATATGAATATATCATTCAAAGATAATAAAAAATGCAATATGACACTAATTCTTATAAATTTATATGGTTTTTATTTTATTATTGTATCTTAAGTTATTTTGTTCAAACTTATAATTAGTTTTACGTATGTCTAATCGTTAGACACGTGTGTTTAAACGATTGACACGTGTGTCCTTCAAGTGTCCAAAGAGTGTCCAAGTCTTTAAACAATAGGACACGTTTTGAAGAGTGTCGGACACGTGTCCTGAGAGTGTCCAAAGAGTGTCGGTGTCCGACACGTACCCGACACGGATACGTCACCTTCCTAGAAGTGTCCGTGCTTCTTAGCTACTAACCATTTTCCTTCTTAACTTGGTCACTAGGTGGTTCCCTATCTTTAACATAAATAAATAAATAAAACACATGGTCTGAAGGTGGTTGAAATACACACTTCAAGAATTGAATAAGAAAATTATTTATAGCATAAAATATATATATATATATAGATATATGGTCTATTGCGGTGGGCATAGTTTGAATTGATTCGGCTTAGGAATAAATCAAAGATCAAATCATTACTTACAATTTTGTAAAATTTGGAATCAAACTAAATTGTAAAAATCATGATACTAAATTAAATTGTACTAGTAAAACGCGGTCCAATTTAGTTTGAAATTATAATATTTAGGAATTTTGTCATCATTCGCAATGTAATACAAAATATTGTTTACAATCAGAGAATTGTTTGGTTAATTATTTATAATTAGTTCTACCACTATACAATACGACTGCAAGAATAGAGGGTTGGTTACGTGTATATATTTGATATTAATGAGATATTTAAGCATTTACTAGATGTAGCAAATTATATATACATATATTTGGTTTGGTCTGATTTCAAATTGATTTCATAACTACAAAATCATTGTCTAAATCATGAAGTACCGTTCATCCATTTTAATAATAAAGATTGAATCATGCTTTGAGAAATTCAAATCAAATTATGCGGTTTGGTCTAGATTTAATCAATTTGTGATTTTTTCAGTTTCTTTGTTGAGCTCCAATTTTTAGGAACAAAATTGATAAATTTAAGGGTTTGGGATATGAGTTGGCTTTTTGATTTTTTTGCTATTTTAATCTGGAGCTAAAAAGTCTCCTTTGAGATGAATTTTTTGATTTTTTTTTTTTACTTTTGTGACAGAAAAAATGAAATTATGATAATCTGAATGTGACATCTTGTCTTATTAATTTTTTAATTTATTTTATTTTTTTGAGACTATTTTAACCCAAATATAATATGTCAAACGAGCACTGCAACTTGGAGAATTGCAATGATACGCAATGCGTGTTTTGAATCTAGTGAGAATGGTTTGGAACAAGGGATTGGGGTGAGAGGATCTGACTCAAATCTCTTCCAATCTAATCTTATTCTGGAAAGAGTATTTTGATGTCGAGAGGGGAAAAAAAAAAAAATTATTTATATGAAGATTTATTAAATTATTAAAATATGTTATTTTTATCTTTTGAATTATAAAAGTGTATAAATAGACATTTTAAATTATTGAAAAATATCGTTTTGTCCTCTAAACTATAAAAGCATACAAATGGATCTTCTAACTATTAACGTGTTTTAATTTGACGTTTTCTATTGTAGGATCCAATTACCTTGTTTTTAAGGTTTAAGAGGTCTATTTATACGTTTTTTTAATTTAGAGGGTCAAACTAATATTTTTCAATAGTTTATAAGATTTTTATATTAATAATTCAAGAAATTTACTCAAAAAAGATTGTTAGGAAATGAAATGTGCAAATCAAATATAATTTGAAAGTAGTTTACATCATATTAAATTTGAATTTATACGATGTATTTATTTTTTTTGCTATTTTTATTTGATGTGGATCAATTGTTTTATATTTTTACTCTAATCTTACTCTTTATTTTAGTTATTTATCCAAATATTATTAATTTTATAGGATGTTAGATAGTAACAAAGATAGAGGGAAATAATCTTAATGATTAAATACATTTTGCCTAGATTTTGAAGGTTACCTACATGTAACTAGTGAATGTAAATTGAGTTAAAATGTTTAATTATATGACTAGTACATTAGAGTTGAAAAAAATGAGTTATACTATGTATTTTGATTAACAAACATTATCTAGTGGATTAAAAATGCTAATGAAGGAATATGGAACTTTCCACTTTTCATTTTAATATACTTTCTATTTGTTTAATGGGTGATGATTGAGACCCCTCCAATCTCCAATCACTACCCCACCACCCACACACGCGTGGTGGGTGGTGATTGTAAGAGAAGAAAAAAAAGAAAAGAAAAAGTGGCCAATCATGTGAAGAGGGGTCAAGAGGATGGGGAAAAAATGGGTCCAAGTCATTATTGTTGTTTAATATAATATAATATTAGGCCTAGTCAAATGTGCTTAGTTTGCCATTTCAATCTTGGGCTAAAATAGTTATAAAATGACAAAATAAGTTAAAAAGTCAATAAGACAAAATGTTACATCCAAATCATAATTATTTTATTTTTTTCTCATAAAAATCAAAAAAGTAAAAAAAAAACTCATCCTAAATAAAAAATTTTAACCTAAACTAAAATAACTAAAAAATCAAAAAATTAAAAAACCAACCCGCGTCATATTAGTATAATCATATATAATAGAGAGGTTAGGTTTTCTTTAAAGTTTTAGAGATAGTGATGTGCTCTTGCAATGTCACGTTGCATAACTGGATAAAGAACAAAGTATATTCTATGAACGTTTGGTTTAGTTTTTAAATTAATATTTAGATTAAAAAATGAAAAAATATATTTAGTTAATCAATGTTTAAAACTTTTTTTTATATATATATTTTTCCTCTTCTTTCTCCTTCTATTATTTATTTATTTATTAATAAATAAATAAATTAATTTTTTCCACTTCTCTCTCCTCTCTCCTTCTTTTATATTCTACACATCAATACACTCATCTATTCAATTATAAAAAATATATTAAAAAAAATTACAAATCATCTCATAATTATTTTCAAAACTTAGAATATCTCCAATAGTAATAGGCATTTTACCTATCTACACATTACTATAACTTATATATTTTATTTTGCCTATCAATTATTTCATATTTCTACCTCAATCATACTCTTTATTTTAACTATTCATCCAAATACTATTAACTTCATAGAATGCGACATCAGCAACAAAGATGGAGGGAAATTATCATAATGATTAAATACATTTTGCCTAGTTTTGAAGACTACCTACATGTAACTAGTAAATGTGAATTGAACTAAAATACTTAATCATATATCTAGTGCATTAGAATTTAAAAAAATGAGTCATACTAAACATTTTGACTAACAAGTATACCAAATAAATTTGAAAATTTGAAAATTCTTTTTAAGAGCTTATCTTTCAAAATATAATTCAAAATTCAAAATCCTTTTTAAAACCTAAACCAACCGAATCTTTTAGTTTCTTTAAATATATATCTTGAGTTTTTTTACAAGGAAAATTCTTAAAGAGCTATCATGTTTTAAAGTAATATAAAAGAATCTACTTTAACTTACATTATTATGCAAAGGGGAAATAACAGATGAGTCCCTGTCAAAATAATAATAATAATAATAATTATCATTAAATGATAAATATTATAAATATTAATAATTAAAATTATAAAAAAATTTATTGATGTATAATAATTTTTTGAAGTTACCATTGAGTGGTAATTTCCCCTTATATAAATCAACGATTTTGTAATTTTATTTGAGAATAGCTTCTCTCCAATCTAGTTTTTGGACTAGAAGACGTTGTTGGGGCCTCGGTGGGCCAAACTTGAGTCTCATCTCAATGTGTCAAATCGTTCAATGCGTAGAATTTATTGAGTATATTATCCTTGTAAAAAATCACGTTGATCACTTGATCAAATTACATTTGCATCTGCGTTTTATTTTTAAAATCATGATTGCCATT